ACCTTTGAGGCACAGTGCAGCTGGAAAAAAGAAACAGATAGCCTCCAGAGATTAGCACTCGGAAAGTCAAGAATAGTGTTAAGACCACACAGGGAGAAGGCAGACTTTTCCTATTAGTGCTGTTTCTTCTATGCCATTTACTTCATAGTTAATGTGATGGCTTTAATAGTCCCATAAACCAAAGAGATGGAATAACAACTGCTAAAATTGGCTAGGAACAGGAGCACCAAAGTAAATGGCATGGACGTTTTAATATAATATGTCATATAATGGTCCAAGATATACAGCAAAATTACCGTGCCCTGCCACTGAGGGCAAAGCATTGCATTTTCTCTCTCCAACTTTCTGGTCCTTTCTGTGTCCTGTCCAGTTTCCTTAGTTCTTTAGTGGGACCAAGGAATCTCCACAAATCTCTTTAGTGAGTGGTAAATAAAATGGAACTATTCATATCCCAACTGAAAGAAATCATATATAAAACTAGCCATGCAGACTAGTTTTGTCTACAAAACGAGCTCAGACTTGCCAGGGACATTAAAAACAATAAAAAGGGCTTCTTTTCTTATGTGAGTAGAAAAAGGAAAACCAAGGAGGCGATAGGGCCTCTTTAAGGAGAAGATGGGGCAATGCTGACAGGGGATAGGGAAAAGGCAGAACTACTTAATGCCTTCTTTGCCTTGGTCTTCTCACAAAAAGAAAGTCACCTTCAACCTCAGCAAGATGGAGTGGATGAGGGATTAGAGGACATCCAATCCCAAATTGGGAAACAAGTCATCCAGGAATACCTGGCCACTCTAAATGAGTTCAAGTCCCCAGGGCCAGATCAACTACACCCCAGAGTATTGAAGGAACTAGTGAAAGTCATCTCGGAACCATTGGCAATCATCTTTGAGAGTTTGGTGCCTTTGGTGCCTTTAGGGTATTTAAGTGTGCATTATTTATTATATAAACTTCTGATTATATGAAGAGATCCACAGACTCCAACCCCTTCTACACAGCCATATAATCCAGATTATCAAAGTAGATAATCCACATGATCTGCTTTGAACTGGATTATATGAGTCTATACTGCCATATAATCCACTTCAAATCAGATAAATCTGGATTTTATATGGCAGTGTAAGGGGCCTCCATCTACTCCTATATCTCTCTCCAGCCCACCCACTCCATTTGGTTACCCAGAGTTTGCTTCTTTGAATGTGCTTCTTTTGGTGCCATTACTAGAGACAGGTGTAAAACAACAAGAAATAGTACTAAGCCAACATAACAATGATGACATTATTGTTGTTGTTGTTGTTGTTATTGTTATTGTTGTTGTTATTTCTTGCCCGCCTCTCCACACAGCTTGAGGTGGGTTACAACATTGGTCCTTCTATTTATTTATTTTATTTATTTACTATATTTCTATACCACCCTTCTCAGCCCGAGGGCGACTCAGGGCGGTTTACAAAACTGGCACAATTCGATGCCACAATAATATAAACAGTTAAAAGCATATAAACATCCTTAAAATTCCATTAACAATAAAATCAATAAAACATAAAACATAAATCCTCCATATCTAATTTCCAGAATCTTTATCCGATTGCAATTGTCTACTTTCTCTGTTCGTGCTCAGCCACAAGTAAAGATATCCTCTTGCTGTCTCTTTTCCAGACAAAATCAACATTTTAGAAGGCTTCAGCTCAGCGGTCCGTGTTGCTGTTGAGACATCTGATTACCAGGTGGAAGTTGAGCTGACTCCGACTATTGAGATCCCAACCTGTTGGCCCCAGAAAATCAAGTGGCCCCGATGCTTCAAACGCTGGCCTTGCCAGGAAAAAGTGCAATGTGTTAAGGTACCAGGTGGAGGCACATCATTGTAGGCCAAATTGACAGCCTCATCCCGCTAAAAGGAAAGTATAGCTTATAGAGAGTACTCTTTAAGCTATAATAATTTAAGCTATAAGAGGACACAGTGAATTGTAACATCCATGGTAGCCATTTTAAAGAGATTGCTGGGTTAATCTATTTCAGTATTAAGGCAGGGTAAGGTGACTTGTGTAAGCTGTTAGTAAGGAAAGTGCAACAATATCTTCCTGTCACACTGACAACACAACCTTTCCCTCACTAAATGTTTCCCCCCACTGATTTCTTAAGTCTTTCCTAAGAAAGATGGTAAGGTGTGGGTCTAAGCCAGCGTTTCTCAACCTGGGGGTCGGGACCCCTGGGGGGTCACGAGGGGGTGTCAGAGGGGTCACCGAAGACCATCAGAAAACACAGTATTTTCTGTTAGTCAAGGGGGTTCCATGTGTCAAGTTTGGCCCAATTCTATCATTGGTGGAGTTGAGAAAACTCTTTGATTGTACGCAAACTATAAATCCCAGTAATTATAAATCCCAAAGGTCAATGTCTATTTCCCCCAAACTCCACTAGTGTTCACATTTGGCCATATGGAGTATTTGTGCCAAGTTTGGTCCAGATCCACCATTGTTTGAGTCCAGTGCTGTCTGGATGTAGGTGAACTACAACTCCAAAACTCAAGGTCAATGCCTACCAAACCCTGCCAGTATTTTCTCTTGTTCATGGGAGTTATGTGTGCCAAATTTGGTTCAATTCCATCATTGGTGGAGTTCAGGGTGCTCCATAATTGTAGTGAACTATAAATCCCAGAAACCACAACTCCCAAATGACAAATGACTCCCCACAACCCCACAAGTATTCAGATTTGGGTGTATCGGTTATTTGTGCCCACATTGATCCAGTGAATGAAAATACACCCTGCATATTAGATATTTACATTGCGATTCATGTTATGAAGTAGCAGCGAAAGTAATTTTATGGTTGGGGATCACCACCACATGAGGAACTGTATTAAGGGGTCGCGGCATTAGAAAGGTTGAGAACCACTGGTCTAAGTACATTTGCACTGGGGACTTGCAGAACATTTTCTGGATGCAAAACCCCTCCACTCTACATTTAGGGGAACATAGCAGATAGCAATCTCTTGAAGAGTGGGTAAGGGCACCATTCTCATCAGTTGCTACAAGGTTCAGCAAAATAATAAATCCCAAGTTCCATGTATGGCTCTTAAGGCAATACTTTCTTTCATATCCCCTTTTGTAATTGCTAAAATGTGGTGTCTGTCTTCCTGTCTCCACTAGTAGACCAGTTAAAAGCTATACATACATACTATATCCTGCCGTTCTTTTAATACAGGATCCACAGCAGCTTTGTGTGTGCGCATGTGCCTTCATTGTGCCTGTCAACTTGTGTTGACCCCATGTTCTTCATAGGGTTTTCTTATTAGTTCAGACATATTTAAAGCCTGTTATTCATTCGTTCAGTCATTTCCGACTCTTCGTGACTTCATGGACCAGCCCACGCCAGAGCTCCCTGTCAGTTGTCACTACCCCCAGCTCCTTCAAGGTCAATCCAGTCTCTTCAAGGATCCCATCCATCCATCTTGCCTTTGGTCAGCCCCTCTTCCTTTTTTCTTCCATTTTCCCCAGCTTCATTGTCTTCTCTAAGCTTTCCTTTCTTGTCATGATGTGGCCAAAGTACTTCATCTTGGCCTCTACTATTCTTCCTTCCAATGAGCAGTCAGGCTTTATTCCTTGAAGTATGGACTGGTTGGATCTTCTGGCGGTCCAAGGCACTCTCAGAACTTTCCTCCAGCATCACAGTTCAAAAGTATCTATCTCCCTTCGCTCAGCCTTCCCTATGGTCCAGCTCTCACATCCGTAGGTGACTATGGGGAATACCATTGCTTTAACTATGTGAATCTTTGTTGCCAGTGTGATGTCTCTACTCTTCACTATTTTATCAAGATTGGTCATTGCTCTCCTCCCAAGAGACCTGGTATTCACTGATAGTCTCCCATTTAAGTACTGATCAGCACTTACCCTTCTTAGCTCCCATGCTCAACGGGAATCTAGTGCCATTAGCAGGGCTTCTTAAACCTTTTCCACTCTTTACCTATTTTCTCCTGAGAACTTTTTATGTTACCCTGGGTATATATGTATATAAAATAGGTATAAAGATCAAACATAGAATTTGCAAGACTTACTAAACAGGCTGATTTTCCTTTTTGTGGAATACAGCTGAAGCATTTTCTGCACAGTCCACTGTGGATCCTGCATGTTGCTGCTAACAGATTTGTGAAAATGGATGGTGTTCAGAAACCTTTTGCTCTCACCAATTTTTTTGTAGCCCCAACATTGTGTTAAGGGGCCTCATTTAGGGTCGGGACCAAGTGTTTAAGTAGCAGTGGCTTTAAGATATACAGGCCCCATCAAGGCAACCTACAACCAACTAAAACAAAGCATATTAACACGATTCCTTAAACATAATGCAACATGGACTTCTATTAAATATACAAAATTTAAAAAGGTGAAATATACTTAAAAAAAACCCAGCATATCTGATGAAAAGCTTCATCTCACAAAATGAATCAAGAGTCAAAAATCTGCCTAAATAAAAAGACCTTTGTTTGTTGATGGAAGGAAAGTAGAGTGGTAGCTAAATATATCTCCCATGGGAGGGAATTCCACAAACTAGGGGCAGCCACTGAAGTTGGATCTCCACTGATATATAATTCGGTTTCTGAATCCAGATTATCTGCTTTGAACTGGATTATATGAGTTTACACTGCCATTTAATCCAGTTCAAAGCAGATAATCAGGATTCAGAAACTGGATTACTTGGCAGTGTAGATGAGGCCTCAGAAGGTTCTCTCTTGTGCCCTCACCAAATGTGCTTGTGAGCAAGAAAAAGCCGTCCCATGAGGATCTTAAAACTTACCCCCTTATAACACTGGCGTTTTAACGCAGGCATGAGCAGAATTTTGGAAAATGTAGTTCAGGGTGGGGCCTTTTGAATACTCTGCTACAAATGTTTTTGCTTTCCCAAATTACATTTCTCAAAATTCTGCTCGCACCAGAAGAACGGGGCCGTCTGCATTACAGCCCCAGTGTGATAAGACTATCAGCGATGCTCATAGAGATGTGGTTTTTCAGATTTAAATGCTTTCCAAATACATGCAGAGATTGCTTTCATGGGAAGATCATATTCTGCAGCATTTCTGACATACTTTTACTGTAGCATAATTAAGTAAACTTTAATTTGGGGTTTAAAACAGTTTTCATAGTAATCATTTCCACCTTTGACCATTGGGGTAGGGTTAACCTGAATTACAACTTCATCACATGGGCAAAATTGCCCGTCTTACAACAGTTTGAGTTCACTTCAGGTACGGAGCCCCCCCGATCCCATCACACATCGTAGATCTACTTTCAACAGGATTCCATGCCTGAAGTGAGGTTGAACTGTCATAAGAGGCAACGCCAACCACACTGGAAGCTGACCGTGTTGCATAAAAAAGAATGGGGAGGGGGGAGCTGGGTGGTGACGCTTACCCTCATGGAATGAGGTAAGGGGCAATGCAGGGGTGCAGGGTGATGGGTCACCCACGCCTTATGCTGGCTTTCACCATGATCCATGGCGAATCCCCTCACTATTGCTCGGCATACTGATCTCAATGTGATGAGTTTTCAGTGGATTGAATAGCCTACTGGGAGGCTAGTCAAGTGTCAAAGCATGCGACCAACGTCCAGGATGTCCTCTATCCCCTCTTCCCTGTCCTTCACTGCTCAACCATTTAAACTTTTTCTGCAGTCCTTTGGTTTTGATCTCTTGGCCGCTTCCAGTTACCATTGGCACCTGAGTTTTTCACGAGCTGAACACATTCTGATGCAAGGACTTGATGAGGACGGTGGTTGCCGGATGACATGCTTCCGGGTCATGAGGCAGATGAAAGAAGATGTCTGGTGTACAGGAAACAAGCCGATACTCACATCTTTTCACCTGCAGGTGTGTGTAGCAAACAACCGCATCTGAGGATGAACACAACAGGGGACTTTTTGGCAGTAACAGCTGGTGGTTATAATGTCTGTAGGGTGGCAAGTTTGTTATTGTCCACATGTTGAAGTTGTCCAAGGCACAGGATGTATTTTAGGACATTTGATAGTTTTTTTTAGCAGAATGACTAGTTGCCTGTTGTTTTCTAGGAGAAGAAGAGCAGAGAAGAAAACAATGAATGTAGTTTTTGGTGAATGCATGATCTGCTAACCCCTCCATTGGGAAAATAGCTTAGAAAGAAGAAGCATGAAGCTTTTTAAGATCAATGTCAATGTCAGAACTTCATGTGTTCACTAAAGGGACACATTAGATTTAGGCAGCTATACTGTGGGCTGTATGCCAGTAATATATAGTGGCACGAAAGGGATTTCTCTTTCCCAACGACTGCATATTTACCCTGGGGACGTACACAGTGCCACCTTTCTCCATTGTCCTTTAAACCTAGAAAAGAAGTGGGGCCCTCCTCCTTGTTGGGTGCCAACCTCGTTCACCTTCCCTGTAAAAAGAGTAAATGGAAATAATCTGCTGTTGCTAAGTTAATCTGTAATCCCTCCTATGAGGTTTTCTGGCCTTGCAATTAAAATACCAACACAGGAACATTTTTTTTTTTTTGCTGGATGACTGCGTCTTAAGTATGGTTTGCTATGGTTTCTTAGCCTGGCAGGAAGTTGTACAGGATTACAACTTTCAGCAATATTATCCCTGTGATACAATACTTTGACTTTCACTGATAAGTCAGTTAAGCATTCTATTTGTTCAACTCTTTTAAAATAAGGATGTTGCAAAAGAACATAAAATTAACCATAAAAATCAGCTACATGGAAACCTTTATTAAAACAACAGTGGCATGGTGCCATTAAATAACACCCATTGTATCCAGAGGAACAATGAATTCCACAGATTCTAGTTAGTAACACAATAAGAGGGCAGTACCTCCGGATTTCTTACTCTAGCAAAGCTCCAAGTCCCTTCTTTTGTACTGAATACTTTATGTTATAGCGACATTCCCCACATAGGATGAATTTTATATTATAATTGTCAGGAAGCTCCACACCTTTTTTTTCAGTCTCCCCAAAAAATTATTTGATCCCAACAATCAACAAAATTTTGCCATACAGGACTTATTTCAATATACATAATTCCAAAAGTAAATATTCCTTAAATGACATTTTATACATTCCTTAGTTGTGTATCTCCCAACACCCCCGCCCTCCCCCCATTCCCCCCTCCCCCCTGGAACAGCAGTTCTGAATTATGTCATTGCATTACACCTCAGCATAAGAAGAATTCAATAAGAGTTAGAGATGAGTGGACTACCTGTTAATCTTTGCATTCCCACTGGAAAAAAAGGATATTGATATCTTGATACCATACAGAATGGGTGACGCCTGGCTCGAGAGCAGTACGTGTGAAAAAGATCTTGGAGTCCTCGTGGACAACAAGTTAAACATGAGCCAACAATGTGAGGTGGCGGCAAAAAAAGCCAATGGGATTTTGGCCTGCATCAATAGGAGCATAGTGTCTAGATCTAGGGAAGTAATGCTACCCCTCTATTCTGCTTTGGTTAGACCACACCTGGAATATTGTGTCCAATTCTTGGCACCACAATTCAAGAGAGATATTGACAAGCTGGAATGTGTCCAGAGGAGGGCGACTAAAATGATCAAGGGTCTGGAGAACAAGCCCTATGAGGAGCGGCTTAAGGAGCTGGACATGTTTAGCCTGAAGAAGAAAAGGCTGAGAGGAGATATGATAGCCATGTATAAATATGTGAGAGGAAGCCACAGGGAGGAGGGAGCAAGCTTGTTTTCTGCTTCCTTGGAGACTAGGACGCGAACAATGGCTTCAAACTACAAGAGAGGAGATTCCATCTGAACATGAGGAAGAACTTCCTGACTGTGAGAGCCGTTCAGCAGTGGAACTCTCTGCCCGGAGTGTGGTGGAGGCTCCTTCTTTGGAAGCTTTTAAACAGAGGCTGGATGGCCATTTGTCAGGGGTGATTTGAATGCAATATTCCTGCTTCTTGGCAGGGGGTTGGACTGGATGGCCCATGAGGTCTCTTCCAACTCTTTGATTCTATGATTCTATCTAACCCAGAGAAAGGAGACAATCCATAAGACTATTTGCATTTCTAGATTTTGTAGGAGGACATTCATTTGTAGAAAAATGCAGAAGATTTTCCCAGAGAGAAAACATATTTTGAGCTAGACAACTTGTACTGGTTTCAGTTTGAGCCAGACAAGTTCTACTTTGTTTCAAGGCAACATTTATTTATTTATTTAAAACTTTTATATCCCAATCTTCTCTACCTCTGTAGAGGGACTCAGATTTATAGAGGGATTTAGAAAAACTACACATGATTTTTTTCCCCCTTGAGGCAATTTTGCAATTGACAGTTTTACATCAGTTCAAAGCTAAGACGGAGACATGTTGGGAAGTGCACAGTAGAGGCCTCCAGACAGTGTCACTTGCCTGGTGATGGCATAATTCAAGGTCATGCAAAAGAAACAAGAGCCTGTGCCCAATTGTGAACCCATAAGGAAAGGGTTAATTTCCAGGCATCCAGAGTTCCATCCTATTGAACAATATGGTATTTGGAACAATTATTGTGGAGTTGATTAAGTGGAGTATGCCTCTCTCTCTCTCTCTCTCTGTATGTCTTGTTAAGAACTCGGTGGCTTTTCATTTGGCAAAGCTACTAAATAATAATAATAATAATAATAATAATAATAATAATAATAATAATAATAACAACAACACTTTATTTGTGCCCCGCTACCATCTCCCCAAGGGACTCGGTGCAGCTTACATGAGGCCGAGCCCAAAATACAACAATACAAGCAATAATCACAACAATACAAGCAATTAAAATAAAAACATAGGCAATAAACATACAACATTATCAATAAGACAACATACAATTAAAACTGTGGGAAGGCCAAATGTAAAATTAAAATTGGAAATAGTGCTGAGACATGGACGAAAAGGTGATAGTGGCGTTTGTGAAAAGACATACAAGCAGACCTAAAAATGTAAAGTGCTTTGGAGGGACAAAGTGCCATGGGATCATTATTCTGGGAAGGCACACCGGGGTGGTGCTTACACAGCAAAAAACCCCACTTAATCCAATGTCGTATTCTCTACAAAACTTAGAGAATAATTGGGTTAAGTCTTGAGTAGCAAAAAGTAAAATAGGGGAAGCAAAGGCTGTTAGAGTTTCCCCCCCATAAAATCTATAGAAAGAAAGGCTTTTGGGGGCTTTTCAGGTTATCTGGTTTATATGCCCTCTGGTTTCTTTTGTATGGAAGTGAGCCCAGAGCATTTTAGAGTGAAATCGGTACTGGAGCACAGCAGACCATGTTAGCTCAGTAAAAAACCGTTTATTCAGGAAAAAAATATTGCTATTTAATGCACAATTGAAAGGAAGTAAACCAGTCAAAAGTTGCAGCAGAAAACAAGAGGTTGTAGCATGATTTACTTACCAGAGCTTCCCATATACAGATTGAACATCTCTTATCTGAAGCATAGCGCCCTCTATCAGCTCCAGCTTCTTATGCGGGGACATGAGAGAAGCCTCCCACAAGGATGATAAAAACATCCCAAAAAAATCATCCGGGCGTCCCCTGGGCAACGTCCTTGTAGATGGCCAATTCTCTCACACCAGAAGTGACTTGTAGCTTCTCAAGTCGCTCCTGACACGACCAAAAAAAAAAATCTGAAGCATTCCCTAATCCAAAATGAGCCACAGATGTTCACAAGATTTTGTCATCTTTGCTTTCTGATGGTTCATGCAAAACATGAATAAAATATTGTTTATAAAAATTACTGTGCACATAAGATGGGTATGAAACATAAATGGCATTTGTGTTTAGACTTAGGTCCCATCACCAAGATTTCAATTTTTAAAAATATTTTGGAAGAACTGTATCTGCATAGAATCCTAGAATCAAAGAGTTGGAAGAGACCTCATGGGCCATCCAGTCCAACCCCCTGCCAAGAAGCAGGAATATTGCATTCAAATCAACCCTGACAGATGGCCATCCAGCCTCTGTTTAAAAGCTTCCAAAGAAGGAGCCTCCACCACACAGCAGAGAGTTCCACTGCTGAACGGCTCTCACAGTCAGGAAGTTCTTCCTCATATTCAGATGGAATCTCCTCTCTTGTAGTTTGAAGCCATTGTTCCGGGTCCTAGTCTCCAAGGAAGCAGAAAACAAGCTTGCTCCCTCCTCCCTGTGGCTTCCTCTCACATATTTATACATGGCTATCATATCTCCTCTCAGCCTTCTCTTCTTCAGGCTAAACATGCCCAGCTCCTTAAGTCGCTCTTCATAGGGCTTGTTCTCTAGACCTTGATCATTTTAGTCGCCCTCCTCTGGACACATTCCAGCTTGTCAATATCTCTCATGAATTGTGGTGCCCAGAATTGGACACAATATTCCAGGTGTGGTCTAACCAAAGCAGAATAGAAGGGTAGCATGACTTCCCTAGATCTAGACACTATGCTCCTATTGATGCAGGCCAAAATCCCATTGGCTTTTTTTGCCACCACATCACATTGTTGGCTCATGTTTAACTTGTTGTCCACGAGGACTCCAAGATCTTTTTCACACGTACTGCTCTCGAGCCAGGCATTGTCCCCCATTCTGTATCTTTGCATTTCGTTTTTTCTGCCAAAGTGGAGTATCTTGCATTTGTCCCTGTTGAACTTCATTTTGTTAGTTTTGGCCAGTCATCTCTCTAATCTGTCAAGATAGTTTTGAATCCTGCTCCTGTCCTGTGGAGTATTGGCTATCCCTCCCAATTTGGTGTCATCTGCAAACTTGATGATCATGCCTTCTAGCCCTTCATCTAAGTCATTAATAAAGATGTAGGTGCATATTGAGATATCATTATGTACCTACATTTTATTTATTTATTTATTTATTTATTTATTTAACTTGTATACTGCTATAAATAAATTATTTATTTATTTATTTATTTAACTTGTATACAATTTGGCTCGGAGCGGTTTACAGAAACAGATTAAAACAACACAATTAGCTTTAAAAATAACCATAATAATAACAATAGGCAGCTAGAACAGGCATAGCCCGGGTTGTTCACCCATCAAAAGCTTGCCAGAAAAGAAAAGTTTTACAGGCTTTCCGAAAAGCAAGTAGATCTCGGATGGTTCAAGTTTTGACCGGCAAGGCATGCAGATACAGTTACTCCAAAATATTTTTAAAATTACAAAATCCCAAACACTTCTGATCCCAAGTATATTGAGCAAGGGATATTCAACACGGGGCTTTATTCCATCAGAAAACAACAGTGAGTGTCACCAAAAAAGTGTTTCTGCTTAGAAAGCAATACTGTATGAAACAATTTACCACATGGTTGGGATCGATGGCCCAAAACACTTTCTGTTCTATTTGAAGGAAACTTGTTGTGCCTCAGTAGTTACTTCTTTGAATGCCTCTTGCAGATGGTGCTTTTCTGGACCTGTGAGAAGTACCCTCATTCCAAAGACTGGCGCTGCTTCCGCACAGGCTTCCTGCGGCTGGTCCAGAAGCTGCACAAGTGTGTGAGCCAGCACTTCCTGAAGCACTACTTCATCAAGGGCACAAACCTGCTGAAATATGCCAATACCAATGATCTGGATGTAGTGGCAGGCAAACTGTCTGTTTTCTTGGAGAACCCTGTGCTTCCCCTCGACTGAGAGAGATGGAGAAAGCAGCATCCTAGCCAGGCTTAGTCTTGGTCCTTCATCCCCCTCATACGGCTATCCTACAGGCTATCCTACATAGAGGACAATGCAGAAGTAAGGCTGTTTGGGCATAGCTATTTACATTGAAGCCAACACCTTTAAAATGCCTAAGAAGACAAACAGTGCTACCGGTTAATTGAGAGTGGACAGTGTGAAAACAGTGCTCCCTGATATTTCAGTTTTACAAACGTTATGGGCTACAGACCCATAAGCAGCGTTGCTGTATTGGAAGCTGAAGGTGAAGAAAACAAGTAACTGTAGTGCTCTGGTTGCTCAGTTTACTCCTCCCCAGTTGCAATATCAGGATTACAGAGAGAATTAGTGTGTTTGAAAAAGTTTGGGAGCATCTAGAGAGAAGTATCGAACATGAGTGTGCATGTGGAGGCTTTTAAAGATTGGCTTCCTTAGTTACTAAATGTTCCAGTTGCTAAGATCCCTTATATCTGTCTCTTTTTTGCTCTTCTTAGGCCCCTTCTACACTGCCATATATCCAGATTATCAAAGCAGAAAATCAACATTATCTACGTTGAACTAGATTATATGAGTCTACATTGCCATATAATCCAGTTCAAAGCAGATAATCTGGATTTTATATGGCAGTGTGGAAGGGGCCTTAGTCTGCAGTTTGGTGCAGAGTTTCTCTCCTCCTATGATTATTTCTCAGGAAGGTCTTTCAGAAACAAACTAATGATTCCTACTTGACTATATGCACAAGGAATGGTGCAGTATAGCAGTTCACTAAGAAATGCACTGGGGAATGCATGCCCTTGGTTCCTTGTCAATTTTGCATATTATAGGCCTATCAGGGGGACTGTGACATATAATATATACATAAAGTGACATAAAATATATATTATATGCCACAAACCCCCTGATTTGGTTCCCAAATCCCAGCGATAGCGATATGCAAAAGTCTCAACCCCTTTCTGAACTGCATAATATAAGAAGCCCTCGGATTTCAGCCTAAATTGGAAAGTGTGTATAGCTGCCCCTCTGTTTTTGAATCTGTGGATTTAACCATTCATGGCTTGGAAAATATTGTTGATTTTGTGACATGTTGAGAACTATGTTGATGTGTAGGCATACAATGCTGTAGCCTCTTCCCATTTAGGCTCACTGCCATTTTACAACAGTACTGTATATAATGGAACTTGAGAATCCACAGACTGTCATATCCACGAGGAGACTTGGAACCAAACTCCAGAAGATACTAAGGGCTCATTGTATATAGACACAAACTTCTCATATTTACTGTTGCTGCTTTCTTCCACCACACATACAATTGCAGTGGAGTTCAAAAATGGCCTTTGCTCAAGGGTTTAGAGCAAGCTATTCATTTTTTTGCACTGCGTTGTCCAATTGTTATTTCCTAGTCTCTTGAAGCAGCCCCCCCCCCCCCCAGTGGTTCACAGTACAATTGTACATACCTTTATTTTAATGTTAAAGATATATTTGGGAGATAAAAGGAATAGAAGTGAACAAAAATAGCGCAACTCATATTACAATAAATTGTTTTTATTCCATTTTGCTGCACCTTAATTGTGTGATTAAACAATGGCATTTCCTCTTTTCCCCTCCTTGAACATCATCTTTTTCTCACCGCCTTTTTGCCAGGACTCATTAATCACTGTCTCCCAAGTTAGGGTCGGCCTTCCAGATATTGTTAGGCTGCTACCCCTCTATTCCGCCTTGGTTAGACCACACCTGGAATATTGTGTCCAATTCTGGGCACCACAGTTGAAGAGAGATATTGACAAGCTGGAACGTGTCCAGAGGAGTGTGACTAAAATGATTAAGGGTCTGGAGAACAAGCCCTATGAGGAGCTGCTATGAGGCATGTTTAGCCTGAAGAAGAGAAGGCTGAGAGGAGACACGATAGCCATGTATAAATATGTGAGAGGAAGCCACAGGGAGGAGGGAGCAAGCTTGTTTTCTGCTTCCCTGGAGACTAGGACGCGAAACAATGGCTTCCAACTCAAAGGAAGAAGATTCCATCTGAACATGAGGAAGAACTTCTTGACTGTGAGAGCCGTTCAGCAGTGGAACTCTCTTCCCCGGAGTGTGGTGGAGTCTCCTTCTTTGGAAGCTTGTAAACAGAGGCTGGATGGCCATCTGTCAGGGGTGCTTTGAATGCAATGTTCCTGCTTTTTCGCAGGGGGTTGGACTGGATGGCCTATGAGGTCTCTTCCAATTCTATGATTCAAATACTGCTAAGGAATGATGGGGCCTACAGGACAGCAACTTCTGGCCAACCTAAATGCTACAGTTTGCAAACCCTGATTCAAATTACGATACACTCTATAAGTGATTGTGTTCAATTGAATAATGCTGTCATCAAGCAATTCACAGAATTTCTTCTAGCAATGATGGTGTAAAATATATGCCCAAAAGTCTTCATGAGGGAAGGGCTGATGACATGTAAGTTGTTTCTGGATACTCACCATATATACCTACACTTTTCAGATGAGGTATACACCTCTGCTACAGGCACGAAAAAGAAGAATACCAGCATGGTCCATATCCGGTTGGCACCAACCGAGAATAAACCGTGCTTTTACAGACCTCAGGAACTCTCTTGTCTCTTTTCCTCAAACCTTCTCCCTACCATTTCAATGTAGCTAAGCACCTATCTGTTTGGATGTGAAAATAAATGTCTACGAGAAATGTATCTGAAAATATTCAAATTTGTTGAAAAATGTACATTTGTATTTTTTTTTAAAAAAAAAAAAATGAAAATGCCCCTTTCCCCAGTAAATAGGCTGTCCCAGGATGGTTCAGGTCAAATCTTTCTGTACCGCATCTTTCCAGGCATTAGTTAAATGCTGGGATAAGTGTATAAATGTAGCAGGAAAGTATGTTGAAAAATAAATACATTTGCCACTTCTTGAAATATGGTCTTTGATTTTACAAACTGGTTTGACTTGATCACCCCTTGTATACTGCATCTTGCCAGTGAGGAGAGAAAAACGGAGGGTTTCATAGAAGAGGTTGGCCTTCTCAACTTACGAATGGTATGCGTTTTCATGCCGTGAACTGCACAGGAGAAAAGCAGAAGAAAAAAACAACAACTTTATAATGCATTTCCAGTCTTTCACAGAAGATGTTGCAGTACAAGAAAATATATTTTCATAACCACGCTTGCTCTTATGATGCCAAAGAAATTGAAAAAAACCCTATCATATTTGGCTTTTTGTCATCTATCTGATGACTTTAGGATTTTCCTAAGCTCCTTGCTAGTTGATCATTTCATGGCTAATTATCTATTTCCCTGAAGACTCCTCCAGTCCTTCTCTCCCTCGCTTTTTCTCACAATAAATAATAGGAATGTCCATGTTCTTTCAATAAAAATAAGAATGTTCACAAGATGCAAATACACAGAACTAGTTTTGTCTATAGCGAATGAAGTACTGTTATACTATATAACATACGTGTATGTATAAGGGGGTGGTGCTGTACGCATTCAATGCATTTGATCAATGATACTTCAAAGTCTTTATACTTGTTATTTGTTTTGTTTTTCTGCTGTGCAAACCACAATTAATTCTTAGTGCTCTGTTTGATTCTGTTAAACCACCATTCCAGATATACAGACAGAATCTAGTAGGTAGGAAAGAGAGTGAGGGGAAATATACATTCTTCCTATTCTCACAGCTCCAAACAAGGTGAAGGTGCCATATCCTTTAGTGTATTGTGAACCTCTGGAGCCTCTTCTTCCCCAGACTCTTCTCCATTGGTAAAATATTCCACAACTATGAATGCTCATAGTTATTGCTGGACATGGCTCTTGTTCCAGGCTCACTGGCACCCTTAGAGTCCATCAATATAAGTAATCAATATAAAGTAATCAATATAAATAAAAATGTAATGTTCATTTGTGGGATT